CAATCTTTAAAAAACTGTAATGCTTAACTCTTCATTAAAAAAATTTTAATTGATATACAATAATGGTACACACTATGAGATTCAATGTGGTTTTTGATGCATGTATATAATGTGTGGTGATCAAATCAGGATAATTAATATATCTACACCCTCAAACATTAATCACTTCTTTGTGGCAAGAACATTAAACATTTACTCTGCTAGCTGTTTTAAAACAGCTGTGGCATAGCAGGTAAAAGCCACCACCTGCAGTACCAGCATTCCACATGGGCACCGGTTCAAGTCCCGGCTGCTCCACTTCTGATCCAGCTCTCTGCTACGGCCTGGGAAAGCAGTGGAAGATGGCCCAAGTCCTTGGGCCCCTGCACCCACGTGGGAGACCTGGAAGAAGCTCCTGGCTTCTGGCTTCAGATTGGAACAACTCCGGCTGTTGTGACCAATTGAGGAGCGAACCAATGGATTGAAGACCTCTCTCTCTCTCTCTCTCTCTCTCTGCCTCTCTTTACCTCTCTGTAACTCTGACTTTCAAATAAATAAAATAAAATACACAAAACATTATTGTTAACTATAATCATTCTATGGAGCCGGCGCCATGGCGCAGTAGGTTAATCCTCCACCTGCAGTGCTGGCATCCCATATGGGCACCAGTTCTAGTCCCGGCCTCCCCTCTTCCAATCCAGCTCTCTGCTGTGGCCTGGGAAAGCAGCACCCTGCACCCCCTAGGAGATGGGAAGAAGCTCCTGGCTCCTGGCTTTGGATCATGCAGCTCCAGACATTGCGGCCATCTGGGGAGTGAACCAATGGAAGGAAGACCTTTCTTTCTGTCTCTCCCTCTCACTGTTGTAACTCTACCTCTCAAATAAATAAATAAAATCTTTTAAAAAAAACTATAATCACTCTATTGTGATTGTTTACCATTATTTATTCCTCCTAGCTAACTGTAACTGTATTCCTTGACGAACCTCTCCCCATCCCTATTCCTACCCTCAATATAATCCAGCAACCCCACTATTGAGTATAGATCCAAAAGAAATAAAATCAATATGTTAAGGAAATATCTGTATTTCTATGTTTATTTCAGCACTATTCACAATAGTCAAGATGCAGAGTCAACCCAGGTGCCCAATAACAGATGAATGGATAAAGAAAATGTGATATATGAAGAATCATCAAAAGGTTGACAGAAAAACTACACATAGATTTCAAAATTTTCTTGCACCAAAATAAGCTCATGTTAACTTGTTACAACATTTCTGAACAGTATCTATCTAATCTGAGGTAATAAGGTTAAGACATCAATTTGAAAACAGTCTTTATCAGAGCAAGAAAAATTCTGCTAAAAGTGAAGCAAGAGCAAATGTTAAATAGATGGTGAACCTTGGATTGAATAATTTTGAAATCACTGATGTTTTACAGAAGTTCATGGGGACAATGCCTCAAGTAAATCAGTAGTTAAATGGATAACTAATTTTAAGAACGGATCATCTAGGGGTAGGTGTTGGTCACAGTAATTAAGATACCACTTGGGACACTACATCTCATATTGGAATGCCTGGGTTTGAATCCTGGATTTGCTTTCAATTTCAGTTTCCTGCTAATTCACACCTTGGGAAGCAGCAGATGACAGCTTAAATAGTTGGTGCTATGCCACCCATGTGGGAGACTGAGACTGAGTTCTAGGTTCCTGACTTCAGCCTGGCCCAGTACCAGCTATTGCAGGCATGTGGGAAGTGAACAAGTGGATGAATGATCTCACTCTCTCTCTCTGCCTTTCAAATAAATAAAAATAAAAGAAGGGACCATCACACGAATTTGTGAAGAGAGAAGAAATCTTGTTTGTGCCCAAATTGAAGCGGACTGACAATTAATAGCAGAAAAAACAGCCAACACCACAGACATCTCAATTGGTGTCAGCTTCAATCCGTTTGAAAAATTCTGACTAAAAATTTTAAGTGGAGCTTTCTGTTTGATGGGTGCCAAAACTACTGTGTCCAGAGCAGCTGAAAACAACAGCAGAACTCTAAATGGAAATTTTAATAGAATCATGATCCTGAAGCATTTCTTCAAAGAATTCCAACAGGAGATGGAATATGACTTTACCAATATGATCCTGAAAACAAAGTACAATCAAAACAATGGCTACCAAAAAGCAGAAGTGTTCCAATTAAAGCAGAAATGGACCAGTCAAAACCAAAAATCATGGCAACAGCTTTTTGGGATACTCAAGGTATTTTGCTTGTTGACTTTTGAGAGGACACTACATGTTTGTAATCATGTGGAATCTAAATACACTGATATCATAAAAGTAGAGATTAAAACAGTATCAACAGTTATTTTTTGTAAAGAAATTCAAGAGGCTCATCTGCATGGCTTCAAACACTGTAACTAATACTTGGCACAATGTATTTTCTGAAGCACAAACAGGATGAATTAAAAAAATGTGTTTAATTAATAAAAGTAGTTTCAACCACTTTACATGGAGATGTTTGCCAAATTATATACAAACCAAATTGCAAAGAAGCAGAATTTTGGAGTTAGAGGGAACAAAAGGCAGAATTCAGTCCTTATATTTTATAGATGAGAAAACTGAGGAAGCTAGTTAGTAGAAGATCAAGCATCAGCACTCAGTTCTCCTGGCTTCCAAATAAGTGTTCCTTCTACCACAGCACATAGCCTACCTGTGTTGGGGCTAAAATCCAATATAAGCATTTCTTCATTTTAATAATGTTTAAAAGGTAATGATAAATTCCTTATTTGTATTCTATTATAATCATATTAGACTTACTACGCAATATACTTCTCTAGAACTGGCTAGTATTCTTGAGATAATTAGGTTTTAACAATAGCAGACATTAATTATAAGGAACTCCTTTTTGATTTAAAATTTGTTGTACATCAAATTGTAGCTTAAAACTGACAACTTTTTTTCAGTTTAAAACTTAAAATTTGGGGAGCCAAAATTAAAAGAATTTTTAAAAGTATTAAAAAAGAATGTGTCTCATTAACATTTTTATTTTTATTAAATGTTGATGTGATAATATTTTGCATATACTGGGGCAAACAAAATATATTAAAATAATTTTACTTTTCTTTTTTAAATTTGGCTACTGAAAAAAACATTTTTAAAGATTTATTTATTTGAAAGGCAGAGTTACAGAGAAGCAGAGGCAGAGAGAGAGAGAGAGAGGTCTTCCATCCACTGATTCACTCTCCAGATGGCCACAATGGCCGGAGCTGTACTGATCCAAAGCCAGCAGACAGGAACTTCCTCTGGGTCTCCCATGTGGGTGCACAGGCCCAAGGACTTGGGCCATCTTCCTCTGCTTTCCCAGGCTACAGCAGAGAGCTGGATAGGAAGTGGAACAGCCGGGACTCAAACCAGTGCCCACGTGGGATACTGGCACTGCAGGCAGTGGCTTCACCCATTACTCCACAGAGCCAGTCCCAGAAAATTTTTAAATACATTGTCTAGCTTGTATTATATTTATCTTGGATAGCTCTAAGAAACCAATAATAAATATCTAGGGGCAATCATTTGCCACATAGCTTAAGATATTACTTGGGATGCCTGTATCCTCTATCACAGTGCCAGTGTTTCAGGCCAGGCTCTGCTTCTGATTCTTCTTCCTGCTAATCCACACACTGGGAAGCAGCAAGTGATGGCTCAAGGACCTGGGTCCCCATCAACTGCTTGGGAGACCTGGATTGAATTCTAGGCTCTTGATTTCAGCCTAGTCCACCCCAACTGTTGGGACATTTGGAGAATGAACAAACAGATGGAAGATCACTCCCTCTGTCCCTGTATCACTGCCTTTCAAATTAAAAAAAAATCTAAGGTGCTAATACTGGGCTACATATTCTCTTAAGTGTTATGGTTTGAACAAGATTTGGCCTTCAAACTCATGGAGGCATTTAAGGTTTAAAGACCAGAGTCTTATGTTAATGGTACTAAAAGAGTGGAAACACAATCTGGTTATGGTATTTAGCATGTGGGCTTACAGGCAGGTCATTAGGGATGTGCCCTTAGAGGGCACTTCTTGTGAGAGGTCTGATTATAAAACCCTGAGCCAAGCTAACACTCTCCTCCTCTGCTTTCTGGCTCACCATACAATCATTCTTCCACACTTTTTCTGACACGGCCATCCTCTGGCCACATATATTTGAACAAATGGTGCACACCTGATCTAGAACTATGATGTTCTAAAACAATGAGTCAAAATAAACTTACTTCCTTGTAAGTAGCTTGTCATAGGTATCTTGTAGTAATCAGAAGCCAATACACTAAAAGCAAGTTACATTGTAAAAATTGTCTACATAATTAATACTCAATTTCTGGGCTTAAAAACATGCAAACAATTATACTAAATCTAGAAATAAACTTTAATTATGTATTTTTCCCCGGATTTGAACTTTTGGTTTTGTTTTAAAATAGTAACTGGTTTTATATCTGTTGCACACACATAAACTTACAAGAAAGGAAGGAGGTTGAGAAGCACGTCAGGAAAAAAACGTCACTTTTGCACCTTGGTTAATGAGAGAGGCAGGCATTTGGTGTAGCAGTTCAAATGCAGGTTGGGATGCTTGCCTCCTATATTGGAGTATCTGGGTTCAAGTCTCGGTTTTGCTCCTGATTCTAGCTTCCTGTTAATGTGCACCCTGTGAGGCAGCAGATGATGGCTCCAGTAGTTTTGTTCCTGCCATCTACACAGGAGACCACCTCCTGGCTTCAGCCTGGCCCATCTTCCTACTTGTTAAGGACATTTGGGAAGTGAAGCAGCAGATGGAAGATCTCTATCTGTCTCTGTCTCTGCCTTTCAAATAAATAAATTTTAAAAATTCTTTAAAAAAAACAACACATCAATGTAAGCTTACTTAATTAAAAACAAATGTTGGCATATGACACCATGAGATACTCTACAAATATACACCAGATTAAAACTCAAATATTTTTAGGAATTTAACATGCATACAACAAAACAAAATATATTTATAATTTATACCTTTGCTCCATCTGAAATACCATCCCAGTTTCCACCACTCAAGGAGAACTTTCCATTGCCTATACGCAGTAGTATCTCTTCAGGAGTATCATTGGGGCCATTAGCAAATGGAGTGTAGCTATTAATAAAATAGATTTTAATATACATCAGAGGCTAACATACATATTAAATACAACTGAAACCAAAGAATAGCAGATTACATGCCAATATTTACCATACTACTTAAGAATATCCAATATTTCCCTTCACCATTAACATCAAATTTCATATTACAAACAACAGACTTAATCCTAGTATATTATTTAATAAAATGGATACCCTTTTCTTTTATCTTAACCAGTTAATCAATGAAGTAAATCTATGGTCTTAAAACCAGAGCACAATAAAATACATTTTCTTTCAGCCTTAAGTTAGCAAACAAATATATCTACTATGAAGAAAATGTTGACCTTACAAAATTATAATATATTTTAGTGTATTGGTTCATTTTATTAATACTTTATCAGTATTATCATCCAAATAAAGTTAATACTTTAATTAATATTCACAAAAATTGATTGGTTAAATAGTTATATTAATGCAATAAGAAACTCCATAGTCACTGAAATTATTATGTAGATCAATACTCATAGAAAGACAAATATATAGAGTTCAAAGTTTTTCAAAATTAGTTATGGAATGACAAAAGGGGATCAATTTTGTACCATTTTTATAGATGGAACTGAAATTGCTATTTAAATTTTGGAATGGGAAGAGCAACTTATGGTTCAAAGTATGAAGATACATTATTGTGTTAATGTCTTAATTCCCTCATGTAACAAGTAAATTAAGATAACACTAAAACACAAATACACTCACAATTACTTTTTTTGTCAAAAATACTTGAAAGTAACAAGCTAGAAATTGTATTACACGAACTGCATTTAATATGTGAATTTTACCTTTAAGTTCAGTAGTAATTGCAGTTTATAACTAGTCTGCAATAGTTTGTAATTGTCTTGTAATGCACAGGAAAATATACTAACATATATAATTACCATGAAGTCAGTAAACAATGTGTCACCATTTTTATAACAAGTTGATATGTCAAATATATTTGAATTATACTAAATATACTCTTAAAACATCACACCTGGGGCTGGCGTTGTGGCAAAGTGGGTTAAGTTGCCACTTGCAATGCTGGCATCCCATATAAGTGCCGGTTTGAGTCCCAGCTGCTCCACTTCCAATCCAGCTCCCTGCTAATGTGCCTGGGAAAGAAGTGGGAAATGGCCCAAGTGCTTGGGCCCTTGCCACCCATGTGGGAGACCCGCATGAAGTTCCTGGCTCCTGGTTTCAACCTGGCCCAGACCTGGCTATTATGGCCATTTTGGGGAATGAACCAGCTGATGCAAGACCTCTTTCTCTCCCTCTCTCTCTAACTCTGCCTTGCAAATAAATAATCACACACACACACACACACACAAAAATCACACCCAGGTATATTATAATTACTTGCTAAATCTGGCCTTTTTCTCTGTCATAAGTCTGTTAGAATAATTTCTACCATAAATTTTCATTTCTAACTAGAAGTGCTACTAATTATTAAAAGTAAAATAGCACTTGCATTATTTGTAAATTACTGATATTAACATAGTCCAATTGTTATACATTTGTTTTGAATGTATCTTTATCTTTCTAGAGGAAGGAAATTATGTTACTGTAGTTTAGTATTGTTACCACTTAAATTTGTTCTAAAGTACAATGTTACTAAATTTCCATTGCTAAGACAGCCAAAATTCAAGTTAAAAAAGTTAATACCAACAAGGTCAGTGGGCAAATTCCTGCTGAAACATAAAATTAAGGTATGATCAAGTAAACATTTTCAAAAAGTACTTCACTCAATGTAAAAAAAAATAAAAATGTATATTTTAAAGTAGTATCAGTTGAAAACTATCTTTTAACTACTATAACTTAATACTATCTCATTTCATACCTTACTTTATTTTTTCATTTGATAAGCAAAAATATATAATATTTGGAAATGTTAATAGCATCTTCCTTAAGTTTATTTTCCTCTGTCCTCTTTCTAGATGAAGAAATGTTAGTGAAATTAAAAAAAAATGATGTGAGTACTTTTGAGAATATATGTTTCTTACCCAGCCAACATCGTGTAAAAAAGGACTCCTAAACTCCAAATATCACAAGCAGCATCATATCCCTGTTGCATAAGAACCTAAGAAAGAAATACAATGTCAGTCTAAACTCAATTTTCTCATCTAAAATAAAACTGTTTTGATTCTAATATTCTTTCAAATGTTCACAATAAAAAAACTTACCTCATTTTTGTCATTTAAAGATTATGTCTTCTGCAATTAGCATGCACTGAATAAACAGGTATTATTATATGATGATTAAGTAACATGGACAATGCAAAAAAATTTTGTTAACATGATTCTTTACCTCAATCAACTTTCACTAGCCCTCTGAGGAAACCAGATTAACATGTACAGAGTATTTAATATATACTATAAAAAATACTAAGGCTTTTAATTCTGATACTGACTCTATAAAGTTTATATTATTATATTTCAATTTTAAATAAGAGGAAATTGAGGTGAATATTAAGTAACTTGCCCAACATCACAACACTAGTTAAGTAGTACAGCAAGCATTACACTGAACCCTGTACTTTTTTTTTCTTTTTTCTTTTTTCTTTTTTACAGGGAGAGTGGACAGTGAGAGAGAGAGACAGAGAGAAAGGTCTTCCTTTTTGCCGTTGGTTCACCCTCCAATGGCCTCCACGACCAGCGCGCTATGGCCGGCGCATTGCGCTGATCCGAAGCCAGGAGCCAGGTGCTTCTCCTGGTCTCCCATGGGCTGCAGGGCCCAAGCACTTGGGCCATCCTCCACTGCACTCCCTGGCCACAGCAGAGAGCTGGCATGGAAGAGGGGCAACCGGGACAGAATCCGGCGCCCTGACCGGGACTAGAACCCGGTGTGCCGGCGCCGCAAGGCGGAGGATTAGCCTAGTGAGCCGCGAACCCTGTACTTTTAATATCTATAACTGCTTGCTTACTATACACGCAATGGTAGGATAATGTATGATCTCAAGAAAGCAAAACAAATTTATATTTTACATACAAGGCTGATATCTTGAAAACAGCAGTATATTTCCGGATCACAAAGGCACATTTAATAAATTCTGAATAGCCTCATGAATTTTTCATATAACAATGCAGGTAGCTTGTTTTTTGCTCTTAGAGCCAATGTTAATAACAATCAAATATCTTTATTATATATTCATGTGAGATTTCTCTATGAGTTAATAGAGTTTGCTTGAAAAAATAAAGAGATGAAATGAGGCCATTTTTTTCATTTGGAAAAACAAACCCACTTAAAACCTCTAGGCATAGGAACAAAGTAGAAACATTATTAATGCATTAACATTGGGTATTGCATAACCACCGGCATGGCCATTTCATTTATAGAAGGCTAAAAATATTAATATTTGACTTTCACAACTGCCACAAATGAATAATGACTATATACTAACTTAAAATTCAAGGTACAATTTTCTTCCTAGTCAAAGTATATTTATTAAGACACACATGTGTAGAATTGAGACGCTAAAGAGGATATCAAAAACCATATGTAGGGTCCAAGATTGTGGCATAGCATGTAAAGCCATTGTCTGCAATGCCAGCATCTTACATCAGCACCAATTCATGTCCCTGTTGTTCCATTTCCAATCCAGCTCCGCACTAATGCGGAAAAGCAGCAGAAGATGGTCCAAGTGTTTGGGTACCTGCAACCCACCTGGGATAACTGAAAGAAGTTCCTCACTCCTATCTGGGAAGTGAACCAGCAGATGGAAGATCTCTCTCTTTTTCTCCCTCTCTCTGTAATTCTGACTTACAAATAAACTAAAATAAATGTTGAAAAATACATATAACTGGCTTATACAATCAACACAAGCAGAGAATACAATGGCCCTAATAAATGAGGTACAGCTGTTCTATGCATAGTACAGTAAACCTAAGCTGGTATACTCTAGTAAAATATAAACCTTACTGTTTTATTCCCCTCTTCTTTCCTTTTCTCATTACCTCTTTCATTTCTGGGTATAGCCATGTTTTCCCTGGTTCCCTGACACATGCACATTTAGGGCCACTGCTTACGAAATAGTTGGACAGGTAAGAGTTAGTGAGTGAGTCAGATATGAGTATTTCACATTTCCATAACCTTATTAGTTATGATAACAGAGTTGCACAGGAGGTATCACATTGCTTAATTAGCGGCAATCATGAAAAACTTGTTTTAGATTTACCTTACACTTAAACATATTTTACATGGATAAAGAGGAGGTTGTCCACTTTTGTTCTAGAGCTAGTTCTCACTCCCCTATAACAGTGAGAACATAAAGCCACATACAAACACACACAAAAAAGGCAGAGCGATGGGATAAATGAAAGAGTATAGAACAGAGGCCATCTTACAAATTTTTTTACTTGCATCAGGTTATTTACAAATAAGACAGAAGTCACAATTAAATTAGTCAATGACCTAACCTTCTAATTTGGCATCCCAAATCAGCAAAAAGTAAAATACACAGAGATTCCCATTATCTTTGATCTGAAGTTCAAATTAATTCATATTTAGGGCAAAACATATGACAGCTCAAACCCAGACAAAGCAGGATAACTTGAAAATTACTTCATCAAGAGCTGCAGGCAAAAGATCTTTCAACTTTATTGTAAATGCCATTAATTCAGGAACATTCTTATACCTCAATAGACATTAAGTATTAGTTGAATAATATAACAATGTATTTGCCTTTATAAAAGTATAAGATAGATTTAGAGATATATTAACTTTTGCAACATTAGTAGAAAAGCATATCTACTGAGTAAATCTTAACAGGTTGATCAAAATGATGCATATCCTAAAATGTCAGTGAATATTCCCTCTTTTTGTTTAGCTAAAATTATAAATAATCAGCAGATCTCTGGGGGCTGGTGCCGTGGCTCACTTGGTTAATCCTCTGTCTGCGGCGCCAGCATCCCATATGGGTACCGGGTTCTGGTCCCATCTGCTCCTCTTCCAGTCCAGCTCTCT